GGGAGAGGGAGAAGCAGGCTTCCCGCCAAGCAGGATGCAGGGCTCGATCCCAGGACCCTGGGACCATGACCTGAGCCGAAGGCAGACGCCCAACGACTGAGCCACCCAGGCGCCCCAAACTAGTGAAAGGCTTAAGTAATCTTCTGCAGCTCACGAAAAGTACAGCGCGTTAAATGAAGAAGGCCAAAAAGGAAAAGCCAGCGTAATTAAAGAAACCAAATTACTCACCGTTCACGATCGCCTGGGTTAATAGCAACTAAAGCTCCTCTGTCCCAGATCCGGTCAAATTTGCCAATATTGGCTCTGTCAGGAAGAAAAAGAAACAAAAATACATCTTATATAGGAAAAACCAAGTCTTGAACAAGCAGCACAATGTTCCCAGTGGGGAGTGCTGGTACTTCCCCAGGGATCGGGATCTCTGGCTGCTGTTCTCAGGTCTGCAGGGACGTGTGGACGTGGGTGTGAGGAGCTCCTTCCAGCTTTAGGAGATGGTGGCAGTAGCCTCCCCCTTCTTCTCTGACTTGGGAGCACAGGGGAGAGCTACAGGACAATTTGGGACCACCGTCTCCCGGCCCCCTGAGGAAGTATCAGGGCCTTTCAGGAGATAAGGTATCACCACCACCTTCTGCACTTGGAGATTCCTATTACCGATCAGGTGGAAAGCGAAGACACTGTCTTGCTCGTCCTTCCTTTTCCCGACCTGCCTCGAGTCATAACAATGTCCTCCATATTTTGGAAGCTATCCAGGGACGAAGCTATCAAGTGTGCCAACAGGTAGGCTGCGGTCCAAAGAACTGCAGGATAAAGACTCACATCCATGCTACCGCAAGCGGATGAGGTAATCAAAAGCCCTCCCTCACCCAGCACTGCCTGGTGAGCCCTCAAGTTATTCAAAGTGCAGAGGTGGGATTCAGTCCTACCTGGGAAGATCAAAAAGGTTGCAACAGTACAACGAAATGTTCCCTTTACAGCTCTGTAATGAAAGTCAAGAAAAAAAAAATGCTGTTTAGTTAGGAGCTACCTGGATGGTTAAGGAAAGACAAGAGGGTAGCAAAGCACAGCAAAGGTGGTGGGGAGAGAATATGTAATTAAACATGAAGAATGTAATTGTACTGCAAAGAATTTTTTTAACGGAAAATAAAACCTTCCTACAAATAATTTTTTTTAATGGCACTGTGTTTTTTAGTTTAGTTTTGTTTGTTTGTTTGGTTGGTTTTTTTAAGACCTGTCTGGGGTTCTTTGGGATCAACTCAAGGAGAAAAATCATAGAGAGGTTAACCCTGAAGATGAGTTAGCTATTATTTTCAAAGCTTGTTCCGTTTTAGCAATATTAACTTTAGCAGAGTCTGATATTTTGACACTGTTAAAGGTAAATAAACTGGTCAACCAATGACCAGGCAGGCTGATAGAGGAAGGTCAGATACTTTTAAAGTCATTCATGCAAAGTCCAGTTGTGTGGACTCCTGGCTTTTCTCGCTTTCATTCATCGGCTAGTGGGCACTTATTGCCTGAGCCCCTGGTGGACAGGACTGCCCTGGGTTCTAGAGAGTGGGTGTGAATCTGACCGCAGGGAGGACAGCCCGGTAGAGCAGAGAGGCGTGGGCGTGAGACACATTAAGGACAGGATGGCCTGCCGTTCTGGTTGCATGGCTGAGAACATAGGGACTCAGAAGACGGAGCAGGGAGCTGCCTGAGAGCACCGGGCAAAGCTCAACAAGAGGCAGCCTCTGAAAGGGTGTCTGGATGCATCTGCTAACATTACAGGGTGGGGGAGCTGGGGGTGCAGTCCAGGGGGCGTAAACAGACATGGATTCCTCTAGGTCCAGGGGATGTGAGAAGCCTGGGGGGTGGGGGTGAGGGTGAAGGGCAAGGAAGGACAGGTCAGGACATGCAACTATCGGATCGTATCCTGAACTGAGGCACCAACAGGGGTTGACGAATAGAGGAAGGGTCTCTAAAGACCAGTCTGGAAGCACCGTGGGGGTCAACACAGAGGGGTGGGCGAGGTGGCAGAGAGGACAGCCAGCGAGTCTCAACTTTGCGGAGCTTTAAACAGTACTGATGCTGAGCCCCACCCCTAAAGATTCTGATTTAATGGGTCTGGGGTGAGCCCTCGGACTGGGAATTTTGTAAGATCCACAGGCCTTTGCAAATGTGCCCCCGAGGCTGAGAACCACTGCTCCAGGAATAGCCTTTTCGGATTGAGTAAACTCCTGGGATGATTTGAGAACAGGGTGGGAGGAAGCTGTAAAATAAAGTACTATTAAGCCTCCTACTGACCTGCCATTAGTTTCAGTATTTAGAAAACAGAGTACCTTGTGAGAGACTGAATGTACCAACAGGGACGATGACCAGACCACGTAGGACCAGAGAGCTTGGACCCATTGTGGCAGCCAGCCTGGGAAGCCAAGCCACAGTCTCGGCTTCGATGACTTGTCAGTGACTGCCAGCCACCCTAATTTTTATCCCCTTTTCCCCTTCCAACTCAAGATCAACCAGAGAAAGCCAAATACGCTCCCCAAACCAATCCTGCAGGATGCCCCCTCTCCATAGCCCACCTCCGCCTCCCCAAGCCAACAGCCTCCAATCAGCCTCCCTGTGGTTTCCAGCCCAAAGCTCTCCCACCCCCGGCCTGCCTCTGAGCCTCTGACCACAAGTAGCTGGCCTCTCTGAAAAAACAGCCTCTCGTGTTCTCATTTGGGTGGTCTTCTATTCCCACGTTCTTACCCCCAGTGGGCGAAGCAGTTCCCGGGGCTCGTTGTGGTCACAGGATGAAGACAACTCCCAAATCTATCACTTCCAGCCCAAACACCCCCCACTGCCCCAGAGACATAAAGCCATTTGCCAGCTACATCTTCGCCATTCCACAGCTCTCTTAAACTCATCATCTTTTTTTCTTTTTAAGTGATTTCTACACCCAACGTGGGGCTCGGACTCACAATCCAGAGACTTAGAGTTTCATGCTTTATCCACCGAGCCAACCAGGCGCCCTAAACTCATCATTCTGAGAACAAAACTCATTTTCTCTGCCTCTTCAGCTTGCTTCTCTTTTATTCTCTGCCATCCATTCTAGTCATCTGGGCTGGAGATGCAAAGTCAGCTCCCCGCTTCATCCCCACTCAGTTAATCCTAAATCCTGTCCGTCTGACAGCCTAAACATTGCTTTGATCTGTCTGTTCCTCTATATGCCCTATGGCCCTCTGAGTGCAAGCCTTCAAGGGCTCTTCCCTGGACCTCTGCTCACAGCCTCTCATCTGGTCTCTCTTCCAGGAGGCCACCTCCCTTGAGGCCCCAAGGATGGTTCGTCTCAAAAGAAAATCCAGGCGGGTCGTGCTCCTCCTTAAAATCCTTACTGCTCAGGATGAAGGACCAGCCTCCCAGGGCATCTGACACCACGCCCCGGCCTGCCTGTCTGCCTGTCCGGGCTCTACCTGTCACGATGCTTCAGGAAGCATCCCGAGGCTGGGTTAGGGGACTCTCCTCTTTATTCCCTTCATACCCTGTGTCATTACGCTTAGCTCTGTGTATGACAAACAGCTTTCTCTGTTTTTCTTCTCTCCTAAGTGAAGAGATTCTTTAGGACAGGGACTCTTTTTATCTCTTCAATGTCTTATGTGTGGCACGAGACATTCTCAGAAATGCCTGTTTATAAATAAAAAAAATCAAACAAACCCAAACCAAAGCCATGAGTCTAGATAGACTTTGATATCAGCGATTATATATATTTGTGCATATCTAGTGATCACCTATCTTTTTCAGCCCTAGCTCCTTAAACTCTGTAATGTTCAGGTGAATCTGTGTGAGAAAGTGGGGTCATGTGACACTCGTAGTAACCCAGGCAAAGAAAAATCTTTCTTATGGGGACATGGAAATCATTATTTACCAAAAACAAGACAAACCTTGAAAACTTTGGCTCCAGGAATTTCCATGATGGGTTCTTCTGAGTAAGAAAGATTCTGCTCTGTAAAAAATTCCCGTATCCCAAGTTCACTGATTTCCACACCTACGACACTGTGTCCTAGGTCTGCAAACCTGCATGAAATCATATATTTACACTTACATTTTCCTTCCAAATACAGAACTACATAAAAGGGTATATCCCAATAAACATTTCCCTTAATTTTAAGGGATTTATATGAATTCGGGGTCACAGGCGTTCATAGAACTTATAGGGAAGTGGGTCTGTTTATTCTGAAACCTAATAGTATACGGAATTCTGAAAAACTGATTTATATGGCCTTAGGAAAAAATTAAAAATTTGGAAAACTCTACCTTAAAATGTTGATCTACTTACAAATGGGTTTGATTAAAAGAGTTTCTAATTTAAAAGCATCCTGTGGGGTGCCTGGGTGGCTCAGTCGGTTAAGCGACTGCCTTCGGCTCAGGTCATGATCCCGGAGTCCCTGGATCGAGTCCCGCATCGGGCTCCCTGCTCGGCGGGGAGTCTGCTTCTCCCTCTCCCACTCCCCCTGCTTGTGTTCCTGCTCTTGCTGTCTCTGTCTCTGTCAAATAAATAAATAAAATCTTTAAAAAAAAAAAAATCCTGTGGATTAGAAATGCTTTTTAATTTCTCTAAATCAGCCCTGTCCATCAAAACCCTCTGTGCTGATGGAGTTGTCCAATCCAGCAGCCACTAACCACATTGGCTATTGGGCACTTGAGATGTGGCGAGTGTGGTTTAGTTCATTATTTTATTTTTTTAAAGACTTTATAGAGAGTGCGCGCGCACGCGAGTGTGGGGGGGAGGGGCAGAGGGAGAGGGAGAACCTCAAACAGGCTCTGCACTCAGTGGGGCTCCATCTCACTACCCCGAGATCACGACCTGAGCCAAAATCCAGAGTCAGAGGCTCAATAGACTGAGCCACCCGGGCGCCCTCGTGTGACTCAGTTTGAACTGAAATGGCCACATGTGGTTAGTAGCCATCATGCTAGAGAACAGGGCTCTAGAACATGAGCATCCATTCCTATAATTTTACCATTTCCATTTACTTACAATAAGCACTATCCAGAAATGTATCTACCTGCCATATGCAGATAACTAGTGTTTTCCTGGTAAGCTTTATAATTACATAATCCACAATCTTGGGATCTTGGACTCCAGAAGAAATAGTGCTAGTACCATAGTACTAATTTTTATCAAATTAAATAAACACATACAATCAGTTCTGCTATAATGCAACACAGGCATCCCTAAAAAAATCACTGTGCTATGCAAAATCATGCGATAAAAACTGAAAGGCTTATGGGGAAAATGGGGAGCGGGGCACAACATTGAAAAACTTAGCCACAGCGGACTATTACTCAGCCCTAAAAAAGAATGAAGTCTTGGGGCGCCTGGGTGGCTCAGTTGGTTGGGC